TGTTTTAGGATAAGAGAAAAACATGAGGTTTGTGGTGTCCACTAGGAAATAGAACCAGATAATATGAAACAAAGTTCTCATGTTAAGACAGTCTATATTATGAGATATTCAAAGTACTTCCCAAACTTTTGTTTGACCTGCAGAGTTGGAGATGGCTTACCTCCCTATAACTTCAAGTTTGTTTCACAAAGCTTTGAAAAGTAAAACAATTTCATTTTCATATATAATAAAAAATTAATTTGAATAGCAAAATAAGTAACTGCTTTTAAATGTATCCATTCTAAAAATGAAACCTAAATCTGTTAAGAAAACTTTTCAAATGCTTTTTATTAAATTCTCCAGTAGTAGCTGAAATCTACTTTTATGAAAGATCTATTTATACCACTCATTTCTACTTCTGATTCCACATTTCACTTTGCAACCTGCAGACCTTCACTCGGTTTCTCAGATGGGGAGCCCCAGCCCATTTTTTGAGAAGTTGCTCAGAGTGGGACACACAAAACATGGCTCCTCTGGCAAGTATTGCTGTCACTGTTTGACTACATTTTAATAGCTACTCCAATTCACACAACGAATCTTCCACGAGGACGGTAGGATGAGTGAACCTGGTTAGCTAGCCTTAGATGAGTACATCAGCATGATCAAACTCTGGAATAAAAGGTGATCAGGTCTAGGATAAAAATTAGGAAAAAGTTCTTTCACAGCTATAAATCTTCACAAGCCCTCTCTCTTATCATCATAAACTAGGGAAAGTAAGCAGGAGCAGGAAAGGTACACAGTACAGCCAATAGGAACACCGCAAAAATGCTTATCAGAAAAACTTCCTGCAATGCCAGGAACTGGGTGCCTCTGTCACTATTTTCTAGGCAAGAGCCCATCTTGGCGTTTTCCTACCCCAAATCTAAGCATAAACATTTAAGTTAGTGGGGGAAGCAGGGCTACGGTTTATAGAACCCAGTCAACTGGCCTAATACTCTCCCTACTCTTATTTCATGGAGAAGACCCTCTTACTCCCCGACAAGCTCAGAGAAACCATTCTCTTTGCTTAAAATGGTGACTTGGCAGCTAAGAGGTCAACTTTCTGGCTTGGAAAACTCTCAGGAAGCTGCATGTTTATAGGAATTATTTCATTTTAGTGCCCCATTAACCTGTCTCTCTTTTATTTATTTATTTATTTTTTATTGATTTCAGAGAAGGGAGAGGGAGATAAACATTGATGAGATACATCAATCAGTTGTCTCCTGCATGCACCCTACTGGGGATTGAGCCCACAACCTGAGCATGTGCCCTGACCAGGAATTGAACCGGTGATCTCTTGGTGCATGGGACGCTCAACCAACTGAACCACACAGGCCGGGCTAACTTGTCTCTCTTATTGCATCTACTAACTTCCTCTTCTGATTTGATAAGCACTAAACTATGAAGATTTTTTCTCATATTCCCCCTCCTCAGTTCTGTGATTTTTTTTTGTGTCTGTAATCACATCAACTTCTTTACTATTCACTCTAAAACTCTGCTTTTTTTGAAATGATATGTTCTGTCAAATAGAGTAAAATAAAACACATTCTTTGCCTACAGAGAATATACAGAATAGCAACAGGGGCTGAAGGTACAAAACACAGACACTGACATTAAGGTCATATAAAATATATAGAAGTACCCAACACTGACAATTTTTGTAAGAAGTTGTACATTTTGCTATTTCCCCACATTTTTTTCTTCTGTGGATCCTCTGGAGTTAAGATTGAGTGTCCTCTGCAGTGTTTCTGAAATTCATTACAATTGTAACATACTGATGGAATTCATTTTCTGTCCAAAGCAACGAGTGCTATACATGAAAGGTTTCCTCACATATAATATTAATAAAGTTTATTTACAGTGTAAGCTTTCTGATGCGCTGAAGTGTGATTATAGGCTTTGCCATATTATCACATTCAAGAGGTTTCCTTCTGGAATGAATTCTCTGATGTACATAAGATATGAATTGTCTCACATAACAAACATATTAACCTCTCTGTACATATTTAGCATAGTTTCACTTTTATGCCTTTAATAAAATACTAAGTGCATTCAACAAGATGCCTCATACATCTCTATTCTCAGGCTTTCGCCTTGCCTGCCAGGCCACAGTAGAAACAAATACCCCACGACTTGAAGAACTTTACTTCTTTTCCTGGCAAAGTTAAGGTATTGTTTTAAGAAGCCCTTCAAAAACTTCCAATAGGTGAACTTACATGCTACTGTTTAAACTATTAACAGGCTTCACCCAGTCAAGAATTTTGAATGACTATCCTGAACCCTTTTTAGATGTTGTAAGCGTTTTTGACCATACGCCAATTGCAATTTGCTTTGAGCAGCTGATGAATGCAATGCAAAGCAAATGGTTTTAACCACCAGCTGTAGCCTGTTTTCTTTAGGAAACATCTTTAAGCAGCTGCTTCAAGGCGTGTGTCTGCTGAAGATCTGGAGCAACCACAGCGGCTGCCCACACAGTCAATGTCCCAGAAAAACGGGAATTAAATGTGGGGGCACAGGTTACTTTAATTTTCATTAAAAAACATGGCTGAGTTATGTCAGCACGTAGTTCTGGCTAATAAAAAAGCCAATGAAGAACCAATCAAAGTTCGTTCCCTCTTAAGAGTAGTCAGTGCTTTGATCAGTATCTGGAGGTAAGCAGCTCACTGCTTTCAGCTGCTTCCCAGCATCAAGTCTTTGCTCAAAAGCACCAGCGGTTTTCTATGCAACCATCACTGTGGTTCATTATGAAGAAAATCCTAGAAGCATTTCTTCTACTTTCACTTTACTATAAAACGTTCCTCAGGTATACGTTTCTGGAGTATCTTTTCTATTTTTCTTAAGTTGAATAGATAGAAATATTCTTGTCACCAGCTGACTTCTTTGAAGTTTCCCAGGCAACACTGATGAAACTGCTTAGAAACTACAGAGAAACTGTGGTTGGTCCAAGGTATAGAGAGGCGAAAGAATTACTGCTATGCAGATTGCAGTTTGGTCTGGAGCTGAGGCCATAGCTGCCCCACCTCATTGGCTCCCCATAAAACCATGCTGTCTCATGGGCTCGAGTTGCTGATTAGCAAAATGATGCGTCTTAGTTTTGTTTCTTGATGGAAAATCTCAATCTCTATTGGGGGTCTCCTGTTACGAGGATAGTCTTCAGGTGTGTTCTTATTCTGTGTCTTAAGTTTCTGTAGAGCTTACAATTTTTTGCATGCTCTCATGAGCAGTCATCTTTACCTGAGTCCCTGATGACTACCTATGTAGTAGCCCCCCGATACTTGGGTTTCTTGCATCTGAAGTCTCTGGCATTGGCTTCCAAGCAGCCAATTGCATCTTCTTGCACAGATAGAAAAGATCCAAATTTTATAACCCCACCTCAGTTTTTAGTGATGAGAGAGAAAAGACACTGTAGTACAACTGTGATACAACCAACCAAATCTTAGCAATTCGGTGAACTTCTCAGAGCAACTAACACATTTAGTAATGGCCAGCTAATGATGTCAAATGCTTTTGTGAAGTTTCTGGAAAGTGTGGGAGAAAATGCTTCCTACATCTTCCTTTTTCTGAAAAGCAACAAAAAATACATAGTCTGAACTATTATTTAAAGTTACAAATGATTCAGAAAGTGCCCAAATCATTAGGTTGTTCAGCAGCTGACTGAAGAAAATACTGGCTAAGATCTTTGTCATAAAAAGATGTCAAAAAATGGCCTTAGTAAGTTTTTGTCTTTTTCTTAAGATGAGATAATGGAGTCATTTCTGACATTCCATGGTATTTACTCACTAATCCATGTTTAGAAAGTCTACGCAGGTGACTAAATGGCGCCTTTCTTTTGTTTAGGATAAAAATAGCATAAGACCCTGGAGCTTTAGCATGCCTCAGGCTCTAATGTCCTCTTCAAAAGCTGGGCCAGGCTACCATATTTCAGGTACTCATGATTCACAGGGCTTTATCATAAGTGCAAAAGTCCTGTTAGAAGTCAGGCATAATGAGTGCTCCTTATGTGTTCAGCACTGTGCCCAGTGCTGTAAGGATATAAATATATCCCTTGTCAAAGCATCTCTTTTGGGGGGTAATGAGAAATTTCATACATGAAACAATAAAAGATTACAAGACGGTATATAATCAAGTGCTAACTTGTGGAGAAATGCATTTCAGAGTGTGATTAGTGCTTTAGGGATTTCTTCCAGAAGGGAGAGAAGTATTTTGAATCATTGTTGCCATTTCAGTAGAATTTATCTCATAGATGAGGATAAAACCATCTACATTTGTGGCAATCCTTTGGAATTGGAGACTGGTGCACATACCCTCTCTTTCATGAAGAGATAGAAATCTTTGGTTTGATACTGATCAGCACAGTCCTAGATTTCTATAGCTTTGGTAGGCTACCAGTGTTCATATATATCTTATATATATAACTAGTTCAAGCAGCATGTCCCAATGTAGTTTTTGTTTTAACTATCCCTCTTTTTTTGAGAAAGAAGGTACAGCAAGATGTTGGCCAACCAGGGCTTGATTGCAGCAAGAAGCTTTTAACCTAAGTATCATTTTTAGAGAGCCAATTTTAATCTTTCAATTCTGTATCATGGTTGCTGAGAGTTCAATAGTGCTTTAAAGGTATCCTCATTACTGAAAAGTGTGACATTTTGCTGTGTGTGCTTTTATCTCTTAAGGAAATATCATGTAGCTTATCCATATGACTAGCTTCCCTACAGGGGCTGTATGGAAGAATTATATGCCCACAGACTATGCAAAGGTAGAACACTGCTAATCTAACTATAAGGATCCTTAAAAAGTATGTGTGTGTTTTTAAATCTGTTGAGGATGTTTATTCCCTTCCATGAGCACACATCTTTGAAATAAATTTAGAAACAAAAGGGGGAAATGGCTTGTCAGCAAATTCTCACTTTACACACAGCTTTTCAGGAATGCTCCAAACGCATCAAGAGAAGCTGGACTGTACTCAGAGGCTCGCTCTCTGGTATGGATTCTGTGATGCAGAGTGAGAGTCGAGCTCCGGGTGAAGGCCTTGCCACACTTAGTGCACTTATAGGGCTTTTCTCGGGTGTGAATTCGCCGATGTAAAATAAGGTATGAGTTTCGGTTGAAAGCTTTTCCACATTCGCTACATTCATAGGGTTTCTCCCCTGTGTGGATTCTCTGATGTTTTGTAAGGTCTGAGCTCTGGCTGAAGGCCTTCCCACACTCGTTACATTCATAAGGTTTCTCTCCAGAGTGAATTCGCTGATGCAGAATGAGATTTGAACTATGACTGAAGGCTTTGCCACACTCATTACATTCATGAGGTTTCTCTCCTGTGTGGATTCTCTGATGCAGGACAAGGTTTGAGTTCAGACTGAAGGCTTTCCCACATTCACTGCATTCATAGGGCTTTTCTCCAGTGTGGATGATTTTATGGCGAATAAGGCTTGAACTCCTTGTGAAGCATTTACCACATTCATCACACCTATGAGACTTTGTTCCTGTTGGAACTTCTTCAGTGGTGTTAAAGTTTGAGCTCAGACTGAAGCTTCTTCCCAATCCTTTACCCTTCTCCCTGGGACCTCTCTCTCCGGTGGTTGTTTTTTTTTCCTTGGCTGTAGCTGGCCCTGAATCTTTCTTTTCTTTTCCAGTTTTCTCCTCAGGATTCTTCTGCTGCCTTTCTGCTGTTCTGCCCTGCTGTTCATGTTTTTCTCCAAAATCTTTCTGGATTCTTCCTCTCGTCTCCCTACGTGATGCTGAGTCTTTTGTGATTTCAGCCTTGGAGGTCGACTCCTCATTCTCATTCCTGCTTTCACAACCTGACACAATAAATAGAAAAAACAAATAACACCTTTTTCTTTTTAATCTATAGGTTAATCAAATGACACTGTTTTCCAGGAAGCTCCTACATACCTGCAAAATGACCCCACAGTATTAATCAAAGATAAAATAGAAGAAAAAATATAGAAAACAGGGAATAGAATTGGGGAACAAGAGGGCAGGAAGAGTGGAAAGGACAACAGAGAGAGTGTACAGAGAAGATGGGAGTGAACAGATCTACTGGGCAACGAACAGAGGGACAGAACCAGTTAAGGAAGAAGGGATGAAGAATTAAAGAACATAAGACATTAACAATTCACAGTTCTATTATTTGGTCACCTGATAATTAATTTGAAGAAACAAATATACATGGGAAAAAATCATGTTCTGATTCTAATATAAGAACTTATGAGCTTAATAAGAGAATGGTCAGGTCTTTCCTAGAAAATAAGTGGTATTAGCAGAAATAAAGGAGCATCATTAATAAAGGAAAGTGAAAACATCTCCATTCTGTGAAATTTTTTACCAACAAGGAGATGGTTAATGGGCAAAACAAGGAACTCTCAACTTGGCAGGTTACAAGGACCTTCAGACACAGGAAATAAGCTTCTCTCCATCAGGGAGAACAGCATGGAGCAGACAGAGATGAAGGTGAAGAAGCTGGTTGGGGCATTGGTAAACATAATTAAAACCTTCACTGAAAGAGAATAGAAAAGAAAATGAAGACAATTCCAGAGATACCCATGACGGAGACACCAGAAGACGACAAAATTTTATTAATGCAGCGATTAATTAATCGCTCTCACTTTAGCGATCAGCATATGAAGACATTGGAATATTCTTATTGTAGACTGCTGTATTCATTTTGTTTTAAGTAGAGATTAAAAATTGTTCAATAAAGGTATATTTTATATATGTTTATATATATCCCAACTCTTTTTTATTTGGCTTTAAGAAACTTGTCCAAGAAGGTCTGTACTATCCCAGACAGGCCCTTGAATGCAACTCCTGAGAGAGCTGAATAATATTTAACTCCTGACTTTAGTGAAGAAATTGCCATAAATACTAAACCAATCATAAGAAAGAGGAAATTGACTTCTTCTTTTGAATTCCAAGCCAAGGTCCTCAACTATCTGGATTGAACCCAATTTTTAAAAAAAGTTATCTTGGAATAGGTAATATCCAGCTTATAAACATGGATCAGTTCTTTGCCTTAATTTTCACCTAATCCAAAGAGTAAGTACCAAGAAACCATAAACCCATTTTTCCTGATGGTTCAAAACAAAAGTTTAGGTTTCATAGTAACATTCTTTCTTTATGAAGTTTCCCCTCATTTGCCCTCCCCGGGTAGAAGCCTCACGTGGACTTCCTATGATAGGAATTATTTGAGAGCTCCTCTGCAGTCCTGTCTCTCAGCAGAGACAAATGGGAATGTATGTCAACTGTGTCTCTTTGTCTTATATTGATTGATGCCTTAGAACTTCTTTGTCTTTACTATACACTAGGAGTGGGGAACGTCCAACCCATGGGCCATATAAGGCCTAGAAAATCATTTGATCTGGCCCTGCCAAGGCATTAGGGGCGAGTTAATGAAATGTTTGACCAAATATAGCAAGCTAATTTTTAAGTTGATAATTTTGTATGGCCTGCAAATGATGTTATAAACATCCAAATTGCCCTTGGCAGAAAAACAGTTCCCCACCCCTGCTATATACCTAGGGACCAGAGCTCTTCATAGATTATTATTAGGTTTGGAAATTGGGAACCGTGATCAAAAGGGAGGTATAGATGTAAGTTCATAGAATTATGCAAAGCTGTCACAGAGCATGGTTCACAGGATGAAGAAGACAGAAAGCCCACAGAAGGATGCTTGCTTGGTAGGTTTAGGAACATGGTCCCAAGTTAGGATTAGAACCAAAGATCAGTTCTCACTTGGCCCTCTACACTAGAAAATACAGATGCTCCCCCAATAGAGGTACCTAAGTTGTAACCCACAGGGAAGTGGAGCAAAATCCTCCCAGGTAACAAAGTGATGGAAGAAGTGAGGATTCAGAACACAAGAATATTTCTGATTTCAAACAGCAAAAATGACGTAGAGGTAAAAAAAAATAAAAAATAAAATCTACTTGTAATCAGGGAGTCAGTCACAGTACCAGGCTTTGAAGTTAAATGAGAACATAAATGTTCCCATTCTCTACCTGGTCTGAAGAAATGGGCTCAGTAGTCTCTAAATCCTTGTCAACACTCAATTGAACATGTCAGAGATCCCACAACTAACAAAGAGAGGCAAAACAATCTTATCAGACAATAATCCTGCATTGTTCTTACCCTGGGAAAACACGTTCCCATAATTCTCCTGCCTGTTGTCCCTATTGAGATTCCTCCGAGCCAGGTTCTGACATCCCCACTCCTCCAGGATGAGGGACACAGCCATGTCCTCGATCTTCACCATCGCCTGAAATATGAGATCCCCACACTCAGTTCCCCCAAAGCTCAGGGATAAACCCACTACCCAAACCTGGAGTTAGGGACAGAATTGGCTACAAACCTACAGGGTGCTGGGAAAGAAAAGGTGACGGTGCCAGGCTCTGGTGGATTGAGGGGTGAGCGGGTCTACTCTGTGGGCAGGACATCAAGAATTGAGTGTCCTGGGTGGAGACTGTTATAAAGATCTCCAGGAAGAGAGGCAGATATGAGGGTCTCAGAGGAGGGCAGAGGGGCCCATGGCTCACCTGGGAGTCTGCCGTGAATAGTGCAGAAGCCATTGTTTGGTCTCTGGGACTCCCCTCGTGATGAGGGGCAGGAACGTGGGTGGCAGGGAGAGCTGAGGGAGGAAAAAGGAGCTATGAGTAAAACCAGCTCTGCTCTGGGCCCAGGGCTCTCTTTTGCCTGCACCAGCATGTTCAATGTTCCACTACAGAATAGAGAATTAAAGAAGAAAAAGCATGACTTGTTTTCTCAAGACTTCTACTCTTAAGCTGGATAAGGAATAATGTAAAAGGATCCTTAAAATCACTTGGTCCAACCCTATGCTCTTAAAGAAGGGGAAACTGAGGCCCTGAGAGGTCAAATAACTTGTCTAAAGTCACACAATTAAGAATGTCAGAGCCAGATCTAGAATCCAGGTTCCTACTCTCAGCTACAGAACTGAGTAACATTTAGCCCATGATTCAAGCCTAGCTCAAAATTTCATTTTCTCAGCCAGCCGGCATGGCTCAGTAGTTGAGTGTCAACTTATGAACCAGGAGGTCACGGTTCAATTTCCAGTCAGGGCACGTCTGGGTTGTGGGCTTGGTGCCCAGTGTGGGTGGGCAGGAGGCAACTGATCAACGATTCTCTCTCGTCATTGATGTTTTTTTCTTTTTAATATATGTTTATTAATTTGAGAGGAAGGGAGAAGGGGAGAGAGATAAAAACATCATTGATGAGAGAGAATCATTGATTGGCTGCTTCCTGCACACCCCACACTGGGGATGGAGCCTGCAACCCAGGCATGTGCCCTGACTGGGAATTGAACCCAGGACCCTTCAGTCCGTAGGCCGATGCTCTATCCACTGAGCCACACCGGCCAGACATCATTGATGTTTCTAGCTCTCCTTTCCTCTCTGAAATCAATAAATACCTATTAAAAATTTATTTATTTTTTATTTTCTCCAGTCCAAGGAACAAATAACAGGACATCAGAATCCCATTTAGTTGTAAAAAAACACAAGGTAGGAAGGGGCTTCCTACTTCTGGGTAAGTTTTGCCATTTTTTGTCCCTCTACATTTTTCCCTCACTTATCCAGTTTTTTGATAAAATGTAGATATGGTTCAAACGTTAATGAGACATTTATAAGTATATAAAGGTATGGGTTGACATTCATCTAATAAAAGATATTTAATATGTCATATAATCATACTAACTGCAATGGGTAGAAACAATTAGAAAAATTTTAAACTGCAATATTAAAATCCTCCCTTGCCAAGTAATATTAGAGAAATGAATTTGAAACTGAATTATTACTTGTTTTCAGGAGGTACAATAATAAAATAAGCTAAAGCAAAATGTATGAAAGATTAAATAACTAGCACTATAGCCTTCCAGGAGCTAGGAAACACTCTGGAAGATGAAGAGCACAAAGAAGAAATTGAGAATAAATGTATATGCCTCCATTTGTTAAAGAACTACTTACTAAATAACAACTGGATGTACCAGGGTCTCTAACACTGTTGCTCTGGTAGCCTGAAGGTCTGATTTGGAACTTAAAATCATGACTACCCTCTTCAATTTCCTGATTTCGCCCCCTGTATAGTGTGGAGACCTTATATACCCTAGAACAGTGGTCGGCAAACTCATTAGTCAACAAAGCCAAATATCAACAGTACGATTGAAATTTCTTTTGAGAGCCAAATTTTTTAAACTTAAACTATATAGGTAGGTAGGTACATTGTTATTAACTTAATTAGGGTACTCCTAAGGCTTAGGAAGAGCCACACTCAAAGGGCCAAAGAACCGCATGTGGCTCGTGATCCGCAGTTTGCCAACCACGGCCCTAGAAGGTCATAGGTGGGCAATGGTGGGTTAAATATCACAGTGTATTGGTTTACATGGATTTCTCCAGCATATGAATGCCGGCTACCCTCCAGAATGCATAGAAAAGACTTATTTAAGCTCTAATATTAAAATAATTTTTATTTATATGACCCTGAAATGATGCTTTTCCTCATGTTTCTCCACGAAAAAGAAATGTTTTCCATCTTTTCCTATTGTTTGAAAATTCTGAAAGTAACCTAGAAAGAGCAATGTATACAATGTTTTTATACATTTTTTAAATGAAATGAATTTTAAAATTGATTCTTTATAAAATAATTTATGATGTACTATAGTGTTTCAAAACCAGGCTGAAAGTATACCATCGCTTCCCAGCACTTTCCAGTAAGAAAAAAATCTGTTAGACATTAGAATGCTAACAATTCAAGAAGCAATGTAATATCTACCCAAGTTCATTATGCACATTTCGTCTACTTCCCTAGTAACATTATTTAACTCCTGGGTTAGTCTGTAAATTGTATTTCCCCTAGTATTAGTAATGACAATAATGTTTAATAATGAAAACCTGCTTCTTTATTACAGGCACTTAGCAACACAGCGAGGGCACACCCATCCTGAACAGTTTGCTTCTTTTCCCCATAAGAAACCTTGTTTCTTACCCCGTGATTGTAAGAGGCAGGGCTTCCGAGATGAATGCTTGAAATGGGACTGGGTGGCCTCATGATGGTCAAAGCTCGAGGACTCCTGAATAGGATCCAGAGGCACCATCCCCCTTGCGAGCATCTCAGGTCCATGCACTTGACCTGGGACCTGAGAACAAACAGGTTAGGCTTGAGGGTAAATCACTTTTTAATGAGTACTTTAAATGAGCAAAAAGAACGTAAGTATACCAGGATGTAAGGGAGATAAGGCCAGAATACTTTTTAATATTCAAGCAAAACAAGGAGAATAACCACGACAGACTACTAAACAAGCTTATATTAGTAGCCTGTATATTAGTTTATTTTATATATATGACATGATATATATATATACCTATTATATATATTATATTAGTATCTTATTATATAAAAGCCTATGGTTATCACGCCTGAGTGCGCGGGTGGGTGGGGCTGCATGTGTGGCGAGGCGTAGGGCAGGTGGGCGGGGACTTGACTCTGGAGGACTTGACCAGAGGCGCGGGTGGGGTTCTGGGTCCCGCCTGGGCGGCGGAGGGGTTTCTGAGTCCTGCCTCCCACCGCGGCAGGCGCAGGACTCTTTCTGGGTCCCGTTGAGCCGAGGGACTCTGGGTCCTGGGCCTCATGCAATTTTGCACGCTGGGCCCCTAGTATATTAATACTAATACTAGTCTAATACTAAGACTACTAATATTAGCTTTAAATCAGTAACTTTCTCTTTGCTCCAGTCTCAAAGTCCACGTGTTCCTCACACCTAAGTTTCACCTCTTCTCACCTGCTGTCCTGATAAATCAAGCTCCAAATCTTCCAGAAGGGTCACAGCCTCCTCCCCACTATCGGGACGGTATTCCTGCAGCCAGGCTTGAAGCTCCTTGGGCAGGATGGAAAGAAATTGCTCTAGCACCAGCAGCTCCAGAATCTGCTCCTTGGTGTTTATCTCTGGTCGAAGCCACTGATGACAAAGTTCCTTCAGTCGACTCAGAGCCTCTCGAGGCCCAAAAGTGTTCTGATAACAGAAGTGCCTGAAACGTTGGCGGAAGATCTCTGGGTCAGGAGGAGGAGTCTCCTGCAGGCTGGAATCCTGCCCCCACATGTGTTCCTCCTCATCTTCCTCTTCTACCTTCACTATTACGATACCATCCTTCTCTTGGGCAGCCTGGGGGGACAGACCAGTAGCTTCCCTTGATTCAGCAGTCATCATTCAGGCTCAGAGAACTGACTTGATCCAAATAAAGTCTGTCCTTTCTGTCCTTGAAAATGTTCTCTGATATCTGTTTCTGTATGATTCCTGAAGTATTAAAAAAAGTGGTTAGCATCTTTATGAAAAGTGGCCTGTGCTACTAACACTTCATTCAAGGCACGAAAAAAGCCTCCAGAGCCACACTGTTTTGACTACCACTTTATACATTAAGATTTGCCTCCAATGGGCAAATTCCACCCTAAGCATCTTATCTCCAGGAGAACAGCAGGTTATGACATCATACCTTTACAGTGCTTAACCCAGTGAGAGCCGAATGTCAACAGGGTACAGGCAAGAGACATCAAGCAGTACACACATAATCTTTTTTCATTTTTTATTTTTGTTGATTTCAGAGAGGAAGGGAGAGGGAGATAGAAACATCAATGATGAGAGAGAATCACTGATTGGCTGCCTCCTGCATGCCCACACTAGGGATCGAGCCCACAACCCAGGCATGCACCCTGACCAGAAATTGAACTGTGACATCCCGGTTCAACCACTGAGCCATGCTGGCTGGGCCACACACAGTCTTATTTCATCCCACAGCAATCCTACCAGGTAGGAACAACTGCTAGTACCATTTACAGATGACATGGCTCAGGCTTAGAAAATTTAACTAATTTGCTCAGCAGCAGCTACCTACCTAGTGGAGTCAACAGTCACACCAAATCCGAAGCCCCAGAATTGCTAATCCACCATCCAACTGTTTCTATTGTTTTTTTGGGGGGTACTGTGTGGTCATTCTACAGGGGAGAGTGGGAGCCCCCTTCTCCCCAACACAGAGGGCTGTTAAGGTGCCCTCATTTACTTGCTCACTTTTAGACATTGTGATTTTTCCCAGTTTACCTGACATCAGTTCGTAGAATAATGGATTATTTTACCTAGCTTAAAAGAGACAAGCATGGGGACTTGGGAAGTGTGTGAAGGGGTCAAATGGTACAAAGTTCTGGTTATAAATTAAATAACCAGAACTGGGGGTGTAATGTACAGCATGGTGACTACAGTTAGTAATACTGTATTGCATATTTGAAAGTTGCTGAGAGTAGATCTTAAAAATCCTCATTACAATAAAATTTTTGTTTAACTATGGTGAACAGAATTTAACGAGACTTACTGTGGTGGTCATTTCACAATAAATACAAATACTGAGTCTTTATGTTGTACATTTGAAACTAATATGATGTTATATGTCAATTATATCTCAAAAAAGAGAGAAGCCGCTTTAAAGGTTCTTACAGAGAAACCACAATTATGAGAAATACTAATGATGCAAACACAATAAGCAAGAAAACGGCACCGCTGCAGTTTCTCTTTAGAGCAAGGGTTTACTCAGCTAGATGAGGAGGTAAAAACCAATGTCGATCTAAATCAAACAAGGAGTTAACCAATCAGTGAGAAAACAGCTGCTTAAAAAAAAAGGTGAAGGAAAGAACTACTATGAGGACAGATGTATGCTGGAAAACATACATTGTTATGTAATTTTAACAGCCAAAAATGACTAATTATCCTTATTACCTAGTCATTTAAAAAACTTGGAAATATTTTCTAATCTGTTTAAAAATCTCCCAAATGAGGAATTTTAGTAGGTCTTAAACCTGTTTGTTAAAAATATAAAAAAACCTTTGATTAGTTTGTAGGAACAGATGATTTAAGGTCATGGAAAATGGAAAAGTACTAGCTGAATTTCAACAACAAAAATTTAGCATGGTTGGTGGGTATATTACTAAACAGTCAGTTGACAATGTGTTCCTTCCACCTGAATTGACAAATCTTTGTGAAGTATCTTTTTCACCTCTATAACCATCGTAAGTAAGCATCAAATTCAAGTTTTAGAGGCAGCATCCAATTTCTGTATCACAATTATTTAAGCCAAGAGTTGAAAACTAATGAAGCATTTTAAATTACATGGCTCTCATTAAAAAATTATTAGTAATTTTGGTAGCAAAGGTACATCTAAAGCACAAGTTATTTTTAAAGAGCACTATTTAATGTATTTTTAATTATACAAAATATTGGTGTAATAGTACATGTATATAATTTTTAGTTTTTAATTGGTAGGAATGTGTGATCATAAAAGTTTGGAGATGACTGCTCTAATCACAAAGAACATGATTTTAATCTGAGATCACAAGATCAGTGTTTCTCATTTTTTTTGTCCTTAATGAAAAACAGAAATCCTTATTAAACTAGCAGTCTATAATAACAATAAAGAATATTACAAGAAGAAGAAGAAAAAAGAATATTACATTAAAAAAAGGCTTTCTAGCCCTAACCGGTTTGGCTCAGTGGATAGAGCATCAGCCTGCAGACTCAAGGGTCCCAGGTTGGATTCCAGTCAAGGGCATGTACCTTGGTTGCGGGCACATCCCCAGTAGGGGGTGTGCAGGAGCCAGCTGATGAATGTTTCTCTCTCATCGATGTTTCTAACTCTCTATCCCTCTCCCTTCCTCTCTGTAAAATATCATTAAAATATATATTTTTAAAAAAGGCTTTCTATTTAAAGGAAGTGGGGGAATTAAGTCATTTCTCCAATGACATTAAACTAGTAAAAAGTCCTATTGTAAACCTTCCCTTCTTCTAGCCCTTCCCTTTAATACCTTCAGACCTGTTCTGTACCTCACCCTCCTTGCTGTAGTAAATATTGTGTTTTTCAACCTCGGAGCAGTTTTCCCAATAAAGTCCTTAGAGCTATAATTACTCAGTTTCCTAAACATTTCTGCCTCTCCGCAATATTCAAGGTGTCCTATTAAACTGAGGAGAACAGAAGGATGAGAAGCACTAGTCCTCTTTTTACACAAATAATTACAGTACAAAGTAGAATGTGCTAACTGTCCTAACGAGGTTCCAGCACCTGAGAAGTAACTTAACTGATGCATTAACAAGGCAGCTTCCAGGAAGAGGCCCACCCCCCTGGGAGCTGGGGGCATCAGAATAGCCAAGACCCCAAAAGACTGCTATAGGAAAAGGCAGAGAGTAAGTAGTTCAAGAGATCATCCCTTTGGCTAGCTTAACCCAACTGGAGGATAAATAATTCCTATAAGTCTTAGTTTCTTTCTTTTTATTCTGAAAAGTCAAAAGAAAGAATATCTTCCTGCTATATGTCTCTTACAATTATTTTCCACCATCCTAATTCAAGCTCTCTATCGCCTACCTAGTCTAGTGCCATAGCCCCATACAGTTTCTCTAGCTTCAATTTCTCCCTGTTCCAATTTGAACATACTAAGACCAACAGTACTGCCAGAGTATGCTTCTGATCATTACCTCCTCCCCCTCAGATACACCACATCGTACTTTTCTATTCTTACCTTACTGCTTTTCTTAGTAGCGATCCCCTATATTTCAGCCTCTTTGGCCCATTAATGTCCCCTAAGCATAGGTGTGATTTTTAATTTCCTACCATATCAACTTTATTGGTCAAATTTTTATGCACCTTGCAAGATGTATAATGTCTCCTGACATTCCAAATTAAATATCTTCCTCCTTTCAACATCCTTAGTACCTTCTTTGTTATTATTCAAGGCACTTACTTATTTTCTCCTTGTATTATCATTATTTGGGTTGCAGTTCCTATCTCCACTTCCCAACTAAAATTTAAGCTTCTCAGGAGAGGGAGTCTTGTCTTCTTTGTACTCATCTCCTCGCGCACCTGGCAGAGTTGAATTCTGTGAAGCTGAATAGACGAAATAAAAACTACTCAAGCTATTACAGCTCCCCCTGCCATCTTCATATTGTCTTTAGTGGCAATTATGATCATATATTCTACTAATATCTCAATCACTCGGGCTCAGAATCTCACCTTGCTTGACTCCTCTCCTCTTACATGCATTCAGTCTCCAAGCACCAGGGGAAGCAATTCTTTGTTCACACTTATTTTTCTAACTAGTTCCATGAAATCCAGCGTCCTCTCTTTGGTACACTGACTTCATTTTCTCCCAATGATTCCCCCACCTCCTACCCTCTGGATTATTCTTCCTAAAACTGATAGCCTTGCAGTCAACAACTTCCAGTACCTGATCCGTTTCCCCTTAAGCTACATTTCCTAACCATTTCTCCCCCTCTCTGCATGAAACTTTTCCATCTAGCAAAATGAGTTTATTCAGTCTTTCCTAAATATGCCTTGTAATTTGACTGCCATCCTCTCCTCACATCATACTCAATGCCTACTTATCATCAGATCTAAGCTAAAATGCCCTTTCCCCTCATCGCTATCCAATTCAAGAAGCCACTAGTAGGCGTAATAGTAAGAGCCAATTATTTATCGAGTGCTTTCTAGGTACTAGGTATTATATTAAGCATTTCACACAATCTTAGGAGGTGGGTACAATTATCATCTCATTTTATAAAGACAAAATTAAGGTTTACTGCTATTTTTTAAAAATATATATTTTATTGATTTCAGAGAGCAAAGGAGAGAGGGAGAGAGACACATTGAGAAACATCAATGAGAATCATTGATCAGCTGCCTCCTGCATGCTCCCTACTGGGGATCGAGCCTGCAACCTGGGCATGTGCCCTGACAGAGAATCAAACCGTAACCTCCTGGTTTATAGGTCCATGCTCAACCACCGCCATGCTGGCCGGGCAACTACTGTTAAATAACATACCCAAGGTCACACAGCAATTGGAAAGGGAGAACCAGGATTTGAAATTAGGTCTGTGGGACTCCTCAGTTCAAACTCTAACCATCAGCCAGTTTGGCTCAGTGGATAGAGCATTGGCCTGCTGACTAAAGGGTCCCAAGTTTGATTCCGGTCAAGGGCACATGCCTTAGTTGTGGGCTCGATCCCCAGTAGGGAGCATGCAGGAGGCAGCTGATCAATGACTCTCTGTTTCTATCTTTCTCTCCTCTGAAATCAATACAAATGTATATAAAAACAAAACAACTCTAATCATCATACCAAACTCACTGTCTCAACATGGTGTGAGGAAGGGCTTCTGTGCACATACAGATTCTGAAAGTGCCTATGAAGGATGACCACTCAGGAATGGGCTTCATTTGATACCCACAGTTCTCACTAGAGAGCTGTGCAACTAAGGAGACACTGAATATGTAAATGGGAATTATCTAAAATCAAGTGGGTAGGGCCTTCAACAGGGTAACTGAGCAGAACTAGCCTAGCAATCAGCAATCTTTTTATGAAAATTCTATTCTGTCTTAGCCATAATAAGAATAAAGGAAAGGAATCTTGATTTGTATTCACACTTGGGCCAGAGTTTTAAAGAGGATAGTCTGAGTCAGTGGGACTTAACAGGAAGATACTCTGAAGAAGTGAGACCTAAAGGGACAGACATGAGGGCATAGGCACATCCCCTCTTCCCCCAATTTCAATAGTTCCTCTCCCCTATCTCCCATTTTCTACTACTACTCTGGGCAAGAGAAAAGTCACAACAGCAGAAGGGCTGGGTTTTATTTTAGTTTTCCCAGATGATGTGAGCACACAGCTTTTCTCCTCTAAACTACCTGGCGCTGTTTTTATTTCTGTAATTTTTCACGCCTTCCGTCCTCAACTGGACTATTGTTAAGGGTAGGCTTCTTTGTACCTATTAGACCACTTAGTAAGAGTCCTTGCAAGCATTAGTTTTTTTAAAAAAATACTTCATTGAATTTACATTACTTTTTTTTTTTTGCCCATTCATACACAATTCAATGTTATCCTCAAATTGGCTACTTGGAAGTTTCATGAAGTTGCTCTACCACTTACCAGCTGGTGATTTTAAGCAAATTAATCTATGCGTGTTTCTTCACTTGTATAGTGGGGATAAACAGTATTTGCTTCATAGAGTTGTGAGGATTAAATGAGTTAACACATGTAAAGCACTTAAAAGAGTGTCTGGCATTTAGTAGACACTAGGGAAGTATTTTAACTTTTTCCAATAAACTAAAGAGATGTAATTTATACTTTCCAATTTTCAGCCTACTTAAAAGATTAAGCAATGGGAGAAATCCCATAGTGAAAGCAGTACAGGTTGAAACACCTGAATTCTAGTCTCTCACAAATAAGTTACGCATCCCTGAGTTATTTCATCTCTGGCATCCAGTATCCTTATCTGTTAAATTGGGGGAAGATGGGAGCTGGGAGGAGAATACTACCTCTGGGGTCCGTCTGAGCTGAAGAACATTCTGACATTCTATCCGATTTAGATAAGATTACCCCCAGCAACTAGTTCTCATCAAGGATAAATACAAACGATTTTCTTACAAAAAGGGCTTGGAGTTACAAGTTCACTTTATTCCACAGGTTATTTTTTAAACAGGCCATTATTTTTTTCAGGGTGTCTTTTAGTCGTCAACGTTTAAACTGCCCTCCTCTCATTTTTCAAAACAGAGCTATAAACCGTTTAAAATATAAAAAAGGTACCTTTAAAAGACAGCTAGCTACACAAAGAACAGTGATACTACCTTTGAATGAAAAGGTAAGATTTAACACTGTGTATTTAGGTGCAATCGAAAGTTAGAAAAAAATCTAAATGCTTAAATCAAGTAGAGAATAAGCAAAAGCCTATGATATTAAGTAGCTAGTTTGTATTTTAAGACTGGTGAAAACTGCCTGAAATAATGAACAAGAATATTGCATAGCAATTCAGAGTCAATGCAACTTGGAAAAAACCTCCTGGAGCACATTGTCCTTACGGTTCCCTACGTAATAAAGCTATTTCATTTGGCCAGCACATACAGTCACAGAGCTTTGTTGATCGGGTCACAATTAATTCTCCACAATTCAACAAGTATTTATTGACCACCTCCAAATCTGCCTAGCACTGGCCTGCACAAGAAATGCTTTCTTTGGTCTCAGGCCATGTAACAGCCACTCTCTGTACTGACAGTATGGTATTGTGTACTGGAGGCACTGCAGGGAGGGAAGAAGAAGGGAGAGCGCAGTCAGGGTGAATTGTAGCTGAAATTTTTCAATTACATCGACTGGATGAAATTTCAAAATTGGATCTTTTAAGAAAACCTAGTTAATTTTATTAATGACAAAACTGAGAGTTGGCGAAATGTCTTATCCAAGGTCACTCAGGTAATCAGTCTTCTAATGACACGGTGAAATCTCCACCAATTCTCTTCACTCTCACTCACGCCAAGTCAAGCAGAGTAGCTTCCCCGAACCGAAAAATACACCCAACCTTCCTGACAGCTGGTTTCTAAAGCCATCAAAATACTCCATAAAGCTGGAAGGAGTGGGCTGTCTATCAGCTCTCCTACAGCCGAGTCACTTCTTCACCCCCTGGACTAGGCTCCAGCTACTCTGTCACCACCGATCAGGGAGGGGTGGAGTGAGGAGCGGTGATCTGGAGACATGAAGGCTGCACTTCAAAACGTGCCCATGTCCCGCCTGCCGCATTTTCCCCTGAAGGTCCTGAAGGACCCCGAGAAGAAAAAAAAATCTCACTGGACTCAAAGCAAATGATGACGAAGGGAGAGCAGGAAAATCAGACTGTTCTCCGAAACGTCAAAGCACCACGTAGACACGGTGGGCGAGGGGCCCCGAAAGGGTCCGCGGCCGGCTTCTCCCCAGTCCCCGAGCACCCCTGGCCACTGGGGTCTCGCCCCCTCCCCGCCTGGACCCGAGGGGAGGGAGGGCGGGCTCCTGGGGGACGGCACATCCTAAGGCCGGGCCTGGGGGATGGGGACGGGAACTCTTTACATCCCGGCAGGGCCGCCTGGAGGGGACCCCGGGCCGCAGCGGCGGAGCCCACCCTCACGCACACCCCCCTGCGGCCCCGCCCGCCCTCCGCAGAGGCCGGCCCAAGTCTCACCGTGAGCCCCGGGAGCGGCCTTGGGGCGCTGGGAGAGAAAGGGGAGCCGACTCTGGGGCTCAGACCGGCCGAAGGGCGCTGCACAAGGAGCTAGGCCCTCCCGACGCCTCGACACAGACACAATGAGTCACAAAGGCCGGAAGTGTGTCAGCACCTCGTCTTCCGGGATTGCGCCGAGCTTCCGGGTCCTCTCTAGGAGCGCGGGAGGATTTTTGCTACTTGGTTCCCTGGGAAGCTGGGTTCCACGCCGGTTCTCCGATGGGTGATCAAGCCTCCAGCTTGGAGTTTCTTGCCTACAGCTCGTGCGCCCCGAGTTAAAGCTGGGGACCGACGAGAAGGGGGTCCAAGCTTTATGACATATAAACAGACTGTTCAGCTCAGATGCCAATTCATATGAAAATTTGGTTTCTCCTCTCTTCCATCTCAAGTAGTCCTTGTAATAATTACAGTTATTATCAAGCATTAATTATATGTCTGTGGCAGAGGAACTGAAACAAGGGTGTAGACAGGAGAAGATCAAAGTGAAGCCAGGGGTGGCTCGTTTCACAAAGCTGCCGTGGTAGCTTCTCGTGGCCCCTGGAGATGTCTGCCAATTAAGTGGTTGGTATTTTCAAATACCTGGCGGGTGGACAAAGGCCTTTCCACAACCAAGTTAGCTAGAAGGTTCTGTGTTTTGTTTATGTGGCACATGCTATTATAGCAGTTTTCATAGTAAGGGTGTTTTCATAGTAAGAGAGTTTTCAGAGTAACAGCAGACACTTTTACCTTCAAGATACTCTACAACCTATAATTCTGGCCTTCACCTTTACCTGGCAGAAGTTGCTCCACTTTATGTGCAAGGGCGACCACGGCTTTCATGGTTGCGACTTTGCTCTACCCGTTCCAAGACGAGTTCATGGAGAGACTAAACTCAGAAGCTTGGTGGCATGACTGAAATTGCTTGGGGGAGATTATTTCCTGAAAAATATGTGAAAACTAAAAAGCAATTACAGTATCATTAAATGAAAGTTGCAAAATGGAGAAAGATAGTAATCTGTAATCCCTCCACCCTAACCCCAGTATGATGGCTTTAATTTTATCCCTTTCCTATCTATCTTCATAGGTACACTACATAGTTTTAATTTATTATTTTAGACATAGTTGAAAACTATAGTTGTATTGGATAGGTGGTAACTACCACATTCATGCTATATGACCACTTTTTGGACAAAAGCTGATTGGATTAGGTTTGGTCACCTGATGGAAACACAATTACCTATGGAATGCTAACCTTCGGATCTACAGAGGTGGCCTGGCTTGAGAGCTCTGACTAATGGAACAATAGATCCCCTTTCTTTGGGCCGTTTAAATGTGAGACACACAGGAAACTGGGGCAAGCAGAAATCAGTAAGCAGAAGCCACTAGTTGGCAGAAGCCATGAAGCCATGGAAGTCGTTAGTAAGCAGAGCCTTGAGAGAAAACAAACTGAGCTATAGACACAAAGACAGGTGCAGCACATGGCACAACAGAGCTCGCAGCAGGAGCCCAGCGGTCGGTCATACTTAGGGCCACAGCATAATGGAGGTGACAGCATGAATAACCTTCAGGCCCCAAACGATGTTTATTCTCTGCATTGTTTGACTTTGCTGCCGATGACATTATGCCCTGTCTCCTCATCTTCCCTGTGTGTCCTTAGAATAAACCAGCAAAAGAATCTAACTTTGTTCCTTGCCACCTGGAAAAGCCCAAAGTGATAATCATATGTATTACTTAAAAACGCTTAATATCGTATCATTAACATTTTAAATTTTGCTACACAGAATGGATAATTATCATTTTAATAGCCATATAGTATTCCACTGAGCAGCTATACCATTAAGTATTTAATAATTCTTCTATTTCTAGACATGTAGAATACTTCTAAAATTTGGCTACTTTATGAACTATTTAATTTGCTGGGAGCCGGTCCATCCTTGCTGTTTCAAGGGACCTGGCATAGATGGCATACTGTTCTTAATATGTTTGCTCACCTTCTTGGCACTATGTGTTTTAACCAAGGTCACCTCTCTGAGAAAGGTTGTTTCCCCAGGTAGGGATTTTCCCCTGAGGTTAGGGAGGGAATAAAACCCCTTAACTAAGTGCCAGGCGGGTAATTAATCACTTTAACTATGAACAATCATGCTTAAGCTACATAATCTTTACTCCCTGGAATGGAGATAAGAAATGCCCTAACCTTTGGAATAGAGATTGATAGGATTGGAATCAACTGGTATAAATACAGATGTAACAAGACAACAGAACCTACACAGAACCTAGACACAGAACCTAGAGACAGAAGAACTTCACTGGAGAGAACATGGCAAAAGATCCTGGACAGAAACTGGAGACAGAACCTAGAGACAGAACCTAGCAAGAGAACATGGCAAAAGATCCTGGACAGAAACTGGAGACAGAACCTAGAGACAGACCTAGCGAGAGAATCTGGCTGAAGAACCTAGAGACAGAACCTGGCTACAGAACCTGGATAGAACATGGCTACAGAACTATGCTGGAGAACCTAGACAGAACCTGGCAGAAGAACCCGGCTACAGAACCTGGCGACCGAACGTGGCTGGAGAACCTAGCAAGAGAACATGGACACAGAACCTGGCTGGAGATCCTAACCAGAACTTCGCTGGAGATCCTGACCAGAACTTGGCTAGAGATCCTGGCTAGGCTGCTGATCAACTGAACGCTGTCTCTGTGTCATTCCTTCTTCGCCGACTCCGTCCACACCTTTGGGGACCCCCGGACCTGCTGGGGTTGGACCCCAGCATTAATTGAAGATTTTTGTACAAATATATTTGGCTAGAACAGTGTTCTTTCCCCTGGGGACATTGCAGTGTCTGGGGACAGTATCCTCGTTGTTACAACTGTGTGTGTGTGTGTGTGGGGGGGGGGGGTTGGGTTGGGGGTGTGCTCCTACTGGCATCTAGTGGGTAGAGGCCAGGGTGCAATTCAACATCCTACAATGCACAGGGCAGCCCTCTTCCCGCACTGCCAGGGTCCTGCCCCAGCAGGTCCAGGGGTCCCCAAAGGTGTGGACGGAGTTGGCGAAGAAGGAAAGACTCGGAGACAGCGTTCAGTTGATCAGCAGCCTAGCCAGGATCTCTAGCCAGGATCTCCAGCCAAGTTCTGGTCTGGATCTCCAGCGAAGTTCTGCTTCAGGATCTCCAGCCAAGTTCTGAGTTCATGTTCCCTTGCTAGGTTCTCCAGCCAGGTTCTGTCCAGGTTCTCCAGCCAGGTTCAGTCACCAGGTTCTAGTCAGGTTCTTTTGCCAATTTCTGTAGTCAGGTTCAGTCCAGGATCTTTTGCCATGTTCTCTCCAGCGAAGTTCTTCTGTCTGTAGGTTCTGTCTTCTAAGTTCTGTGTGTAGGTTCTGACTCCTGTTGTCTTGTTACATCTGTATTTATACCAGTTGACTCCAATCCTATCAATCTCTATTCCAAAGGTTAGGGCGTTTCTTATCTCCATTACAGGGAGTAAAGATTATGTAGCTTAAGCATGATTGTTCGTAGTTAAAGTGATTAACTACCCGCCTGGCACTTAGTTAAGAGGTTTTATTCCCTCCCTAACTTCAGGGGAAAATCCCTACCTGGGGAAACAACCTTTCTCAGAGACCTTGGTTAAAACACATAGTGCCAAGAAGGTGAGAAAACATATTAAGAACAGTATGCCATATATGCCAGGTCCTTTGAAACAGCAAGGATGGACTGGCTCCCGGCACCGCACCCCCACAGAACAATGAGTTACCAGGTCTGGATGTCAGCAGTGCCAAGGCTGAGAAACCCGGATCTAGACCTCAGCAAAACAGAGACAAATTTTAGAGATTAACTTGGTGTTACCTGGTCTTCGTGAATCCTTGTTGGTTCTTAATCAGCACCACTTTTCAAAGGTCATATTAACATACACTTTTTTTGGCAAGAGAGAATCCTCTGATTGAATAGACATTCACCCGGACTCCCCCGCCTCGTGTAGAGTCCCCTCCCCTCTCCGGGGACCGACAGGGGTGCCCTGCTCCTTGGAGACATGTCAGGTGTGTTTCCGCTCTGGCGGGTCCTCTCCTATTTCCCAGTATCGCTCACATTCCTAGGGACACTTCAGTTCTGGCTTCTCTCCTCCAGCGACCTCCACCCAGCAGGAGTGACAGGGACCCTGTGGAAGGTTAGGAAGTCATACAGAAATGTCAGTGCCAAGGGGACAGGCTCAGGAGAGCGGCGATTTTTCCATCTATTTCCATCTTTAAATGTGCCCATTCCCACTTAGGGAGGTGTCAGTGTCCCCAAATGAGCATCTCCAAAACCTTGTCATTTCTGGCTTCCAAAGAGTTCCCTTACTTCCCTATCAACTCATTCATGCATTAAAAAAAGGATGCCTTTTGCATGGAATTCATAATTTTTCAGTGTACTGTATGGAAAAGGTTTCTTTGATCATCTTGTCTGCCATATGGCCAGAAGCAGAAGTCCAGGAGATACATATTTAAGAAATGTAAGTTTGAAAAATTATAGATGGTATGGTTGGGGAAAAGTCAGGCTTAATCATTAAATCTTGAAACATTAGAATGAAGCTCTAGCAGAGTACAAAGGACGAAGACCTTTAGATACTGCTTTATAGACAAGATAGTGAGCTTATGGATTTCATTTCAGTGGGATAAGCTGGAGAAGTGTGGCCCTCAATGAATCCTTGGGAAATAAATGGCAGGCAGGTAAGGGCAGAGTTGGATGGACTTTTTAGTTGGTTGAATTACCAGACCCAAGTTATCTTAATAAATTCACATAAACTTTGAGTGGAGTCTCCAGAGTCAGCTACAACTGGGTTCTGTCCTGTTATATCCTGTACAATAGGATTCTCTTATATGTGTTTCATATGACCTGTTTCCTGTTTTATCAGTGTTATATATGAGAGTGTTGGGGACATAAAATTAAATTTGTGCATGACCCTAAAGATAATGGTATTCACTAGTATGTTGAAGGTAGGAAAGCAATTCTTTTTTTAAAAAAATATATTTTATTGATTTTTTAGAGAGGAAGGGAGAGAGATAGCGAGCCAGAAACATCAATGAGAGAGAAACATCAATCAGCTGCCTCCTGCACATCCCCCACTGGGGAAAT